TGGGGCTCCATCCCCATCCCTTTCCTGCCAGCGCACTGGGGGAAGGCGCCTGTTTGCCAGCCCTATGGATTCTTCCTCTGTGGGATAAGGCACTGTGTGTTCTGCAGGAAGACGCTCATGGCTGGCTGGTAGATGAGAGGTGGCCTTCTCAGGGGATGCAAAGCTGAGGCTGTTGAGGGGTCGAGTTGATCTTGGGGCTCTGGCAGGGGGGCACCTGGTAAGGAGGCCCCAGGTGATGGGAGCGCGGCCTGGAGAGTCTGGCGCCGCTGCCTCCCCGCTGGCCCTACACCAGCCCTCAGGATGGATCATGCCTTTGCTCTTCTTGCGGTTGGCCGTGGTTCTCCGGCTGTGGTTGGCTCTTGTCGCCTTGTTGGCTTCCTTCTTCCTGCATTCCTAGGTTGTCTCATGGCTCTGCCCATGGCCCCTGGGGCTGCCGGCCACTGCTGTTGAGCTGTCATTCCGGTACCCTTTCTTGGCGAGAAAGGCCATGCACCTGGCTTCTGCCTTCTCTCTCAGCCTTGCAGGGTCCTGCACGAAATGGTCAGGCTTGGGAGCCTCCTCTTCCTCATCGTCCCCCTCCTCCTCCTCCTGCCCTTCTCTAGGCACTTTGGTTCTCAGCCCCTGAGGGATGGTGAATGCCCTGCGGCTGATGAGCTTGTCATCTGCATCCACATCATTGGCGTCCACCTGGTTGCCATCGTATGTGTCATCATCCTCGTCCTCATAGTAAACATTGTGGTAGGGCAGGCTCTCGCCTGGCTGCAGTAGCACCTCCTCCACCACCACGCTGTACTGCTCATGGCGCTGCCACTGTGCGCCACTGTGTGCTTGTCATTCAGGAAACTCCGTGTGTTCTCCTCCTTCCCGGTGCTCTTGCCCTTGTGCACCCGACTCAGTTCTACTGAGTCCCTGCTAAACACGTCAAACTCATCATTCTGGAAGACGTTGTGGTGAGATGTCAGCAGGGGTGTCTGGTCTGGTTGCATTTCTCTGCCTAGGTTGTGGTCCAGCTGGGTGAGGGTGGGGGCCAGCTGCTCCTCCAGGATATTGTTGATCACCTGCTCTGTGTCATAGTGGTAGTACTCCAGGCAGGCCAGGATGAAGCCCTCACCAAGGTCTGGCAGCAGGTCCTTCACTTGGGAGATGAGTGAGTCCAGCTCCACCCCACACATGATAAGGCCCACAGCCACAGCTGCTCCCATGCACTCCTCTTCCTCCGAGTTCTCTGGATGTGATGACGCTTGACTGACTGCGTCTGCCATCACTGTGACCCCATTACGTTCCCCATTAGGCTCCTCAGTCACCGATGGGTCTTTAGCATCTGTAGCTTTCCATCTGTCCACCCCTTCCCATGCACTCTCGACTGCCTGGAGGATGTAGGCAGTCCATGTCTCGTCCAAGACTGACGAGGCCTGCTGCAGCAAGCTGATGTCTTCGGCCATAGGGAAGAGTGCATCATAGTCCCGGAGGAACCTCTTCTTCTGCAGCAAGGAGCTGAAGATCTGAAGGAACTCTTCACTGAAGCCCTGAGTGTTGTCACAGCTGCCTTCTAGGATGGGAAGGAGGCATATCTGGTTCAGGACGATGTGGAAAATCTCCATTAGCTTCTTCCTGGAATGGGAGAGCCTCTGCCACAGATCACCTAGAAGCTTGCTATCTTCAAGCTTTCTCTTCTTAATTGCAGACTCCATTTCAGGAATTGCTGCTTCATAGAAGGAAGCTAGTCTGTAACAAAAGTTGTGCTTCTGGAAGGTCTGGCAAGCCAAAGGGAAGATACCCAGAAAGGCCCAGAGTGTGGTGC